TTTACTTACCTTTGGCAAAAGTTCACTATTCAAATTTAACTCATATTAACATTTTTGCTGTTGAACCTTTTCAGTTTGACTTTGGCAGCTTTCAGCAACAAACTTCCAGCTTTTAGCACGCGCACTGCACTTTCACAGGAAATGCAAATTCTCTAGTTGCTGATTCTGTACTCATGTTTTCCAGAACATCTCTTCYAATGTGCTGGAGGAGTCTGCAGTCTCTGACGATGTGGTATCCCCAGATGAGGAGGGCATCTGCTCGGGGAAGTACTTCACCGAAATCGGTCTTGTGGGTCTCCTGGAGCAGGCAACGGCCTCTTTCTCTATGGTGAGAAAGGTTTAATGGATAAAAAGATGTTGTTAATCACGTGGTTAGGTCAGACACTTTAAAGCTGATTGCTTTGTTATGGCAAACCAGACAAATTAGAGCAATTAGTTTGTGATCAAATAAATTCTAAAAATGCATGTAAGTTGTATACAACACAGAATGTAATTTAAAAGACTGGTTGTACTCTGCTGATGTTTGCTCTTCCCTCCAGGCCGGCATGTATGAGGCAGTGAATGAAGTGTACAAGGTGCTAATTCCAATCCATGAAGCCAACAGAGATGCAAAAAAGCTGGCCACCATCCATGGTAAACTACAAGAAGCCTTTAGCAAAATTGTCCATCAGGTACGCACACRAGACCGAAAGAAGACTCCCTTTTTCTCACCGGGCTCAGCTTACAGTAAATGTACACAAGAATCAAAATACTTATATTCATTTATTCTCAGGTTTCATTCTGGTTATCAGGAAGTTATAAAAGTATTTCAACTTTTTTTGAGTGTTTTATCTTCATGTAGCAGGAGTTTTAAATTGTGATTATTTGCATGCTGTTACTTCACATTCATATTTTGCACAGGTGCACGTTTGTCTCGAATTGTCAGTGAAGATTTGARGTTTTATATTTAACTATGTTTAAGTTGCACAAAAAAAAAATCTGCAGAGCGACAGTTTGTCATCTGAACTCATCATTGTTTTGACACAAGCACTGAAGCACAGACACAATGCTGCATGGTGGCATCTGCCATTTGAACTCCAGCGTGTTTCTATTTTTTATGCTATGTTTTACACCTGGCATGTTTTATGTTTTTTTTTTAAGTGTGGAATTAAGACTGCATGAGATGTCAGAAGAGAATCCAACCCCTTTTTTTTTTTTTTTTTTTGTGAAGGGATGTCGGTTTACAGCGGGCACGGTTGCAGTTGTGGTTTTGAAAATGTTTCACAAAGTTGTGATCAAAAAAAAAAAATCAAATAACGGATGATAAGATGTTTTTGTTACTTTCCTGTACGATCAGATTCCCTGTTCTCGGGCTGAAGGGCCTATCATCCTGTGCATGTGTGAACCACACTGAGTGTGTGTGGTTTTAACTGTCCTGTCTTCACATGTGCTGTATTCTCTTTGTTACACAGAGTACTGGCTGGGAGGTAGGTGGTTAAATAGTTCCTGCTTGGCCCTGCTCATGTTTATTTATTTTTTATTTCCCTCTCTCATCTTTTTGGTTATTTGCCAGCTGCGGGCACTCGGTTTGCTCTCTGCTTCGTTTCATACATCACATCCATTAACAATGGCAGACACAGTCGACTGTCTGCCCTGCTGGGAACACTTGCTGTGCGTTCAGCAAAAGCCTCACCTGTTTTCCTGTCTCCTCCCTCCCTCCCTCTTCTTGCACAAGGGGAGCTTGTGTTATTTACTTTATTTCCGACCGTGGCAGCGCTGACGGGCTGTGCATGGCAGCCGCGATGTGACACTAATGACTAAAGTCCACGTGAATGCATCATCGCCTGCACAAATCTGCCTTTTATCCATCCTCATCTTCTGTCTGTCTGCTGGTGTCGCTGCACACTCATCGACCGGCACCCTCTCCTGTCACATTTCACCTCATCTTCACACACAGGGCTCGATTTTAGTGTACCGTTTTAYACAAGGAGGTTTAATAGTCCTGCTGTGGCTGTGGGTTGTTCTTGCCACCTACAAATAAATGAGCGTTTCAAAACAAAGATGCAGCAATTCTTGGGTCGAAGCCGGAATTACATTTCTTAATTATTATTGTGTTTTAAAGCGTTCAACTAACAGTAATCTTGCAGTTTTTTTTATTATGATTCAGTTTTATTCTTGCTCTTTTTTTTATTAAAACTAAATCGACCCCTGATTTTTTTCATCCATTCTCTCATTTGTTAACAGTATTAACCTCTGAGTGACTTCTCATGGTCTGTTGCATGAATTTGTTAGGGTTTTTTTAATTTATTTCATTCCTTTTGGAAGTGCACTAAGGGGTGCATGGTGTGCCACGGGTTCTGGATCTTTATTTTCTTACTTTTATTTTCACATTTATTTGTCTTTGCTTGTGCATGGTCTGGTTCTTAAGGCCCTGTCACGCTATGATGTTTTAGACAACTTATGGCAACTTTTGAAAAGTTTGGAGGCATCTACGTTGAGGATGGAACTAAAAAAACAACAAMTGAAAGCCTGTTTTAGGTGTTTACGTACTGTAATGATAAGCAGATTAAATATTTAACTTTAATTAGTAACTTGGTGGAAATTTAGTTTTCATAAGTTGTCTTAAATGTCATAGTGYGACAGGACCTTTAGCAGGTTTATTTTCTTTCTCAAAATCAGTGCAGATGATTTTGCTTTTGTGTGAAAGTTTTTATTTATTTATCATTTTTTGTGGTGTTTTTGAATCATGTGGGACGACCCAATCCTGATTAAAAATTTGTTCTGTTTTCTCCTTTTTTTGTTGATTTCCCCGGTTGCCGACCCCTCCTTCCCACTTTACTTAATTGTGTCTTGTGGTAAGTGCCTTAGTTTTTAGGGCATCAGCAGTATTGTCTAAATATCTCTTAAGTCGKTAAAGTGACAAGAACTTATTTATTTTTATATTTTATTTGCCTTTAGAAGTCAGGTCATCTAATTGTTTTATCCACGAAATTTTGTTGCTTTGGCTTCAAGTTGCTATAACTTCCATCTTGTAATGCCACAAACACATACTTACACATCCTAGCTCATGTTCACACTTTCTGTTCCTCTAAGTGTTTTCTGTGCTGTGGATCTACTGGACTCTTGTTTCCTTGATGAGATTTGTTCGGTACTCTTCCTGTTACTGAACAGGTTTACAGGTTTTTTTCTGCTTTACACCTCCCTGTGCTCTATCTATCAAGTTTAAAACTGAAGTGGAAATCTGTTAAACGAGACTAAAGGTTGTCGTTCTTCTGGCTACTTTCTGTCTGATCTTGATTTCCTTCCCCATTTCTCTGTAAACTTACACACTCTTGTATGTAACTAAATGACACAAGCAGATATGTGTCATATTACACACTGCCTGGCCAAAAAAATGGGTCCACCTGGATTTAATTAATGTCTATGATGTGGGGTTGCTGCAGTTGGTCAGGTCCAGGTTCAGCAACAGTCTGTGCTCAAAGAATGAGGTCAGCTGACCTGAATATACTGAATGAGCAGGTTATTCCATCAATGGATTTGTTTCTTCCCTGAGGCATATTCCAAGATGACAATGCCAGGATTCATGGGGCTCTTATTGTGAAAGAGTGGTTCAGGGAGCATGAGACATCATTTTCACACATGGATTGGATCCACAGAGTCCACTGAGAGTCTTTGGGATGTGCTGGAGAAGGTCAGACTCTACCATCATCAATGAAAGATCAGGGTGAAAAATTAATGCAACACTGGATGGAAACAAATCTGGTGACATTGTAGAAGCTTATCCAAACAAAACCACAGAGAATGTGTCCCGTAATCAAAGCTAAAGGTGGTCCAAAGAAATATTAAGAGTGTGATCTTTTTTTGGCCAGACAGTGCATTAAACTATTGCTCATATTTCTGCATGACASGGCAACTTTTTTTAGAATCGCCATGCAGATGAAGCATCTTGCTTTTSCACTTTTAGTTGTCACTCTTTCTGTAGTCATCTGAACAGTTCATAGAGCAAACATTCAGAAGGTCATCATTTTATTGTAAATGCTTTAAGAGTTTCAAAAACAAATTCTGTACAGTATTGAAATAATAAGTTATTTTAACCCCAAACCTTAAAGGATTCTGGGGCACAAATCTGACATAAAGCAGGGGTATTTAACTAAATTACTCAGGAGGCCACACTTCTAATTTACGCTGGATGCGGTTCAGTTTCGACTGCGCTGCGCAGTTCGCTGCCGTTTGTTTGCACCCCAATTTATACTGCGTCCGCTCCGCTCCGGTGCGAAGCACAGAGGAGGTCCGAGAAGCGTGAGCAGGAAATGCAAGATCGCGCAATAAATCCAGTGATAAATGTGGACGTCATAGCAAAAATAAATAATTTTGTGGAAGACGGACTCCAAACAGCTGAAACTGCATTGCTGTCGTCTTTTTGAAACTTCTGATTTCATTATAAAACCCACATGTATCCTGTGCATATTCTGCACACTACATGTTGCCATCTGTTTCCCAAACAGAACGATACATTTTGACAGCATTTATGAATAAATATATCCATATATTTATTAATATAGCTGGCATTTCGACAAAATCAATCTGTCTTTGCTGAGTAATTTTGAAAAGRCGAATGTTCTGTTTGTTCCTTTTCCTGTTGGTGCGATGTGATTGGTGTAGACTGACTCCAGCGCAGCTCCAGCGTCCGTCAAAAATAGGATTGAATCTAATTTTGGCGGATYGCCGCCAAGCGGAACCAATGTAAATACTCYCATTGATTATAACTGTTGMGTATTTGGAGCAGARTGGAGCTAAATCGCATCTAGTGAAAAGTAGTAGTTACTCAAAGTCTCTTTGGCGGGCCGGACATAAGTCACCCATGCGGCCACATCCAGCCCGTGKGACGCCACTTGATTAACCCTGACATAAAGTAACCTAATAATATTCTAAAGTCACCTGGCCAAGTCTAAACCAGAAYCTTCTAGTACTAGCATCAAAAACATRTTTCAAAAATGAGAAACTCCTTCAGGTTTCCATGCAGCCCAATTCTTTACAGTTYAAGTAAAGAGCCAGAATAAGATCCTGTATATTTTAGCCTTATTGTTTCAAAAACCTGTTTTTGGTTTTGTCATTGTGAAGATGTGCTTGTTCAATGAAATCARTGAAGTGAATTATTTTATTTTAAACGATGCGTCTCAGTGGTAACACGCTTTAGAAAACTTGAAAGGTCGTTAAAACGGCGGCATGACCCACCTAACCAGCGCTTAGTGTTTGAAAAAAAGAAAAAAAATCTGTGTTTTCCATCCAGATCAAGTCTTGTGTTAGTACCAAAAATATTTTTAACATAAACACTCGGGTAACAGTGACTTTCATCTGCTCCCAGAACGGGAAGAGGATGTTTGGGACGTACTTCAGAGTGGGTTTTTATGGTTCCAAATTTGGCGACTTGGAGGAGCAGGAGTTTGTGTACAAAGAACCTGCCATCACAAAGCTGGCTGAGATCTCTCACAGGCTTGAGGTAAACCAACATGCAGCCTCCAAGACAATAATAGTTTTTATCTTTTGCCAAGAAGTGTAAAGACCCTGCTCTCTGTTCTGTTAGAGCTTTTATGGGGAGCGGTTCGGCGAGGACCAGGTTGAGGTCATTAAGGACTCCAATCCAGTAGATAAGTGCAAGCTTGACCCCAACAAGGTCGGTGCTAGCTAAACGATTCATTCTTTTATCGATGCTAACAGGAGGAAAACTTATCATTTGAAAACGTGGTTGTGTTATCTCTGCAGGCGTTCATTCAGATCACATACGTGGAGCCGTACTTCGACACTTACGAGATGAAAGACCGCATCACCTACTTTGATAAGAACTATAACCTGAGGCGTTTTGTCTACTGCACCCCTTTCACCCTGRACGGGCGGGCCCACGGGGACCTGCACGAGCAGTTCAAACGCAAAACCATCCTCACCACCTCGCACGCCTTTCCTTACATTAAGACAAGGATCAACATCATCCACAAAGAGGAGGTGGGCCAGCAGCTCAGTAGAAATCAAGTACTTTATCCTTCCTCGCCACCACTTTAGTAAAACCCTTTTTTTTTTGTTTTGTTCTACCAGATTATTTCCACACCCATAGAGGTCGCGATAGAGGACATGCAGAAGAAGACACAAGAGTTGGCCTTTGCCACCCATCAGGACCCCGCTGATGCCAAAATGCTGCAGATGGTCCTACAAGGATCGGTGGGCACGACTGTAAACCAGGTTAGACAAAGAAAACAACAAAAAGAAGCTTGCTCTGTTCATAAAGATCCAATAAATAAAAACTTTCGGCTTTGACTGAAATGATGCGTTTCTTAAAGGGGCCTTTGGAGGTGGCTCAGGTGTTCCTGTCAGAAATCCCCAGTGACCCCAAATTGTACCGACACCACAACAAGCTCCGGCTGTGCTTTAAAGACTTCACTAAGAGGTACGTTATTATCAAAGACCATCTTTCTTATGTAATATGTTTTATTTTCATAAAATGATGTCTTCTTTAAAGTGCCTGTAACATTCATTTCCTTCAAATATAATAAAAGTAATAAAAAACATCATATCATATCGTTTGCACTGCAGGCAAATGCGACCCATATCTGATTTTTTTACGACAGTTTGAACGCGCCAAATCTGATTTTTTTTCTCTAATTAAACCCAGGCCTTTTCAGTGTGTGGTATTGAATCGGATACATATCKGATGTTTTTCAAAGTGACCTCAGTCTGAACGGTCATGTTACAGCCGACGTTTTTATCAGTAGCTGCGTTTCCATTGACCAGGAAAATGCGCAAATTAGAATTTCGAAAATAAATTTGCTCAATGGAAACACGTCAATTTTGAAAAAAGATTACATTTTTCGACAAAATTGTTTTGTGCTAGGAAGAGGTGGTTTTTCGGCCGTATCAAAAGTGGTGTATTTCGCAAAACTGCAATGGAAACACTTTTTTCGCATCACGGGAGTCACGTGATCAACAACCAGCTGTTTCTACTGGCGAAAAAGACAAAGAAGAAGAAGAAGGTAACAGGAAATAGAAGTAGTAGTAAAATCACCGAAGTAGTAAAATAAATTATTAAACTTACGGATTACATTTTCCCAAAAACACAGCATACATAGCCGCTCCCAAGTATAAGGGGCTTGTCGCTGGAAAACCTTGATAAGATGCGGATGTCTCCTCTGATGGCTGATGATGAGCGCTAGTGTTGTGGTATCAATATGCTATGTCTTTACATCCATTGCCGCCATGTTTGTAATAATTTATCATGAGAACAAACGTATTCACGCGTGACTTTAATGGCATTTCTTACTTAATGGAAASACCACAATTACAAAACTGTTTTTTCGRCATTAACAGAATATCAACAAAGTTTTGCGCACATTTGCAATGGAAACGCAGCTAGTGAGGCGGTGGTGAGCAGATCCATAAAGACACTAACCTTGAGTCACGCTGTTTGAATCTGCAGCTCCACATGTCTCCAGCTACAGAACAGAAGTCCAGTTGCTTCTTCTTTTTTSTTTTCATTTTCCGTGTCCTGGATGACTGAGAGTCCGCAGAAACATGATAGTAACCTCCAACTTTGGTGGAGAACCGTATCGATCCTAAAGTTCAATACTTCCAGCACTTCGTTACAAAAATAAAACGCTTCACCAGAGCGTCTGGTCAGAGGCAGGTTCAGATATAAACACTGAACTAAACAATATAAACACTGAACTAAACAAGCAGGTCGGATAATTATTTTATCCGCTCAGAATGAACAACAACTTCAGAGTCGATATGCTACAGGTAGCATCCATGCTAACTGTATAAACAACCAGCAGCTGAATGTGACATCATGTCGGCGCATGTGGGTCACATCAGTGTCGTGTAGAGTTCACAATGGAGTCTGATGGAGGTCGCATTTAAAATGTAATGTTCACTTCGAAAAATCATAATCGAGCATTAAGACCAGCAKTGTAAACATAGCCTAAGAAATTTGGCCTAATACTCAGGGTTTCACATAAAACTTTTGGTCTGGTTCTCAGGGGAGAACCTAGGGTTGTTGCTTGGTGCTCATATTTTCCTTCACTCATTTAACACATTTACGGTTTCTATAGGGGGCGTCAGGGCATTTAACGCCCCCCTGTTCTGTTTTTTGACTCCTGTCAGCTGCAACGTCTCAGGACATCATGCCAAATTAGTCCACCGAGTTTTTATTTATTTATTTTTACTCTACATAAATTTCGTAAACGACCTAAGTGGCCGAGGGGCTGGGTGTATGTCATATAAACATCACAAACTGAACATTTCATGGTTAAATGTCTTTTAGACTACACATTTCCCTCAGATGGAAAACTCCTGTTTGGTCTTCTGGATTTTTGGCTTTGGTTAAACCAGCTTTCCACACTCTCCACTCCAAGCAGTAAATATCTGTC